TTAAATAAAGCAAGAAAACACAGAGTATAAATACAAATAGTCGAATATCTTGGCGCCATTTAAAGCATTGATTACAACTATAAGCTTGATGCTCGTTTTATCAAACCTCTTTAGAAACCAAGTCAGGTTACTAATAATATCAGCTTTTTTATAAGAGATAGTATATATCCCTGTTTCTCGTATTCTCGGGGTTTCTCGTATTCTCGTGGAATAATTAAAACGGATGGAAGCGACGCTCGCGACTTCCGTCGATATCCGAAAACTTGTCTATTTAGCAGAGCATTTCATCTCCATTAAAAGAATTAAAGAAATGCGACAAAAACAGATAAAAAACCAAAATAACTATGAAAATAATCGTAAAATCCAGAGAATAAACATTAAATTTATCAATTTTCCCCCCAAAATCATCAATTTTCTAGTTTTTTCCATGTTGCAGAAACCTGTAGCGGGCCTCCGATGCAAGACGCTTCACACTACTATTTATACAATACAGCTCAAAATATCTGTTCCACGAATAGATAGTATAAAAAAGATATGAACTCCAATTATAAACCAATAATGAAACATTGTTTGTATTAAACACATTTCATTTTTGAGAACTGCAATGGAAAACAGTAGTATTCATTGTTTAATGCTCATATAACTAATAAGTAACTAATAAATAAACGTTAACTTAATATATATTAGAGAGATTATGTAAATAACAACACTAAATTGAGTTCAAACTATTTTTGGAACAATCAAAATCATTTGGTACCAAAGAGGCATCAATATGATCCTACAAGTTTGATATGGCCTGCCAAACTGTTATTAAAACACAATAAGATTACAGATTTAGGCCATTTAACACTTAATTAGGTGTGGCACTAATGATTTGAACTGGTATGTAGAATAAAATCATCACATAGCGACCAGCCCTAACAACCAATCAAATTCCACGAGAATACGAGAAAGCACCTGCTTCACATAGAGGGTGAAGGTCAGTATATACAAGCAGAAATATCACTTGTTTTGCTTACAGTCACGATCTTTCTTTCTTTGTATTTTGTTAATAAGGTATTTCTCTGTGTACCAGGCTAAAAATACTGTAACAAAATGTTTCATTAATATTATGCAACCAACTTTAGTCCTTAACCCCCCGAGAATACGAGAAAACAGGATATATAAATGCACCCTAGACTGGAATCCCAAAATCTCTCTCTATATATAGCACACTTGAGTTTTTAACTTTTTATATGTTAAAGGCCGATATTTGTTACTTTGAAATTACATAGCGCAAATGTTCACCATTTATAATCTAAATTTGATAATTTTATAATTTGATGTTATTTTTAACACTGATTTTTGTTTACTCTCTCCACATACGTTAATTTAATATTTTGGGTCGTGGGCCTTTTTTCATCTTGACTTCTTATGCACTTGTACGGAAATTTTTTATTTGACTACAGTAGGATTTGCATAATTCATTCTATTTGTTCATACTGACATGTTTAAATTTTATTGTACACTCTAAAAGAGGCAAAATAATCTAAAACAGCAATTCTCAAAAGCTCCACACTTAAAGCTACATGTCTCCAGATGAGTCAAAATATTTCACTTGATGAGTCAAAATATTTCAATAAAATCAAACTTGAGAAAAATGTACTCAGATGTACAGTAAGGAAAAGTAAAAAAGTTTCAAGATTCAAACAATATTTTACATATTATGTGCGATTTATGACTGATTTTTCAGCATTTACAACTATATTTCTACTGCGTTAGTAACGCAGTAAATGCCATTTATGCATATTTTGACCCATTTTTTTACGTGGATTGTTAGTGCCATTGATAATGTGTAAATTTTTTCTTTCGGTTACTTGATAAAATTACACATTTAAATACATTTGTAAAATTTTCATGAAAATTTGCATGAATCTGGAGGCGTGCTGCTTTAAGTGCGGAAATCAAAGATCCCGAAAGACCAGAAAAATATAAGGCCGCTGCACCTAGTTTGAACCCAACCTTTGCATCTTCGTCAAGGGAAATGTGTATTAAATTTCCATGTTCTTCTTTAGTTTTTAGAATAATTTTCTTTAAAACAATTTGGAAAAAAATGGTAATCTTTTAAAAGTTCAAAATTTAAAATTAGTATTAACTTTTGGAGAATTGTAAGTCCGTGGAGGAATATGTTCTTTAACATTTAAAGAATTTAATTCTGTGTTTATTTTGTATCTGTTTAAGCTACTTTTCAAACGAAGGCCTGCAATGACTAAGAGAGATGTTTGGTGCGCATTAAACCGGTTAAATCTTCCAACTAGTATTATTTTTAGTGACAGTTCCTTGGCAGTACCCCGTGTGTTCCTTCTTTTGTTTCACATGCTTGTCTTGTTTATTGTTACCTGTTTTGTATGTCTAAACGTTTATTTTATGCCATATCTTGTTAAATTGCCGTTAGCAATAAGTATTTCCTTTCTTTTTCCCCTTATGTCCTATTGTGTGTCCCCGTCTTTTCTTTATACCAAAACCTTGTCCATTTAATTCCTTTTAGTTCTTATCATTTTCCTTATTTCATGTCTCTTTCCTCTTTTCACCGCCCTTTGTATCCGCTCCCATTTTTGGATTGGTGCCTTCAACAAAACCGTTAACTATAGAACCATTATCTAATTTTGTTCAGAAAAGACTTCTGTATAATTTTGATCAAATGGAGGAATTTGATTTCCGATCCAAACAAGACAATAACATTTTTTTTATAAACTTTTAGCTCTAAAATATTTAATGATTATTTTTTTTTGTAACAAAAATAAATAAATTTCACTTAGGCACTATTTTTTTAAAAAGGTTGAAACAAATCTTCAAAGTCGGCAAAAATTAATCATTGTCCCTTTAGATCTTTAAGATAAACATGTTTCAGTATCATACCCTTTTCAAGGTCAAATCAAAAATGAAAACATGCCATTATATACCATTCTTTCATTCAAGTGTTTTGCATACACGTTAAATGAAATCGATATTGTTACGTAATCAATAATTTCAATATCGATTTTGTATGGGAAATACTTGAATGCCAGTACGGATAAATATTATTCCGATATAGATATATAAGTTATTAGAAAAAATGAAGTTCACTGTGTTGGTTCATACAGCAGTTGTGACTTTAATTACATTAGGACACGTGAATACAAGTTCAGGTATATTTATTCCACTTGTCGATTTAAAAGATAAATATTCAAGTTTGATTTATGAAAATAGGATTTAATTTCATTGAGTTGTATGAAAAATGAAAAAAGAAATCATGATAGGTGGTAGCCACGAGTGAAATATTCTAATTTTCATACCACAAGATGAAGATAAATCCTGTATTTTTAGAAAAATAACTTGAAATTTCTGTTTATAATATACATTTTTCTCTTTTTATACTTTACAATTTGAAAGACCCCCCCCCCCAAAAAAAAAAAAAAAAAAAAAAAAAAAATTGTGCATTGACGGAATTTAGAAGAAAATTGTTAGGCAAGACACGAGTGAAAAGACGGAAAATATGTTTCACTGCAATGAAAAATAAATCTCGTGAAAATGTTGAAAATAAAATACGCATTTAATTTCATCTCAATATTTCATTTACACGTATACAATGCAATAAAACACGCCTTGACAGTAGTTAAATACGATAGCCGAATTCCTCGGCGCTAAGTAAAGCATACAAAAAGAATCAATACCCGCTGTTTTTATATAACAAGATTGGCTATTTAACCTATATATAGCACACTGGGTTTTCATTTATCTAAAAACAGATCTCAGAAATTGAAAGGGAAGAATTCAATATGAAAACTTTAAACCTCGTTATTCTCACTAAAAAAGGCAGAATAATTTGAAAAAAGTCTGAAATGAACTATGTGAACCTTGGTTAAAGTATCAATTATTAACGAAAGTCACGTCGTACATATGTTTTCAAAGCATGAAAGAGTTATTACTAATGATACATCTTTTAACACAAATTTTATTCAACTCATTATTGAATTTGATTCTAACAGGTAAATTACATATAAAATATATCCTAAACAATAAACATTAACGTTTTTGACTGTCAGGTACTAAGGTGGACGATGATGAATCAACATGTAACCCGTATAGCGCTCATATCATGTGGTTCATGGGTAGTGGAGAAGATACTTCATTTTTTCAACAGATGAGATTGTTGGTAATGTTAATAAGTGACTTCCCTGAAAACACATGTGTATCTATGGTAACAATTGGCGCTAAAGATGATATAACACTGCCTTTTAGGAAACGAAACGGCAATACTAATTGGAGAGACAAAATTTTACAATTGTCTGGAAACACTTCGAATCATGCATCCTGTTATACAGACAAAATACGAATGTCAATCTCAAACTACCATAGAAGTAATTCAACTGACGCACAAATTGTATATCTGCTAGTAGATGGCAAAACTGAAATACACGATAAAGAAAATGATTTTGAAGAGCTCAAGAAACTGAAAACGTTTGTTATCTTTGCAGAGGTAAATACAAGTAAAGCATAATCATGGGTAAAACTTGCAAGCAATACACAACATTTTGTTTCATGGGATAGTAGAAACGAAGATGAAATAGAGAAAACAAAGAATATTATACTGGCCAGGTCCTGTCAAGGTGACTATTATATCAACATCACCATAAAAGTAAAAATTATTAGCTTAAATGATTCTCTTTGTTGAACAAGCGCAATCATTATAATTTATATCAATGATATTCAAATAAAGCCTTTATATATAACATAAAGATTTAAGTTTTGATGACATTTTCTTCACGTTTCTTTCGTATTTTAAAATCTGTTAAAGCAATGATATTCAAATAAAGCTATTGGGTTTGTTTCCAGATTTTTAAGTTTGTTGACACTTTTCACTTGTGTGTTTTTTTCTTTTGTGCATTTTTGTGTTTTTTTAATCTTTTCTGTCAAAGATAACTGATAAATATATAGGACACCTAATATCTAATACTTTACATGGTATCATAATTAGATTCCCTATTTGTCTGTGATACTGACATGTACTGGTCAAGTGAAAGGAACAGATGTAATGCATGCACGTACATATGTACAAATACCTACAAGAGACAAACAAAGTATTGCGTCAATGCATGCCCATGTGAGTTTATTTTATGTTTTATTCTAATTTACTTTTAGTATCCGCACTAACCAATTTCAAAGACTTATTGTTAATGTAACTGAAACAGTAAAGGTTGAATGACGTGCATATAAAATACAGTTTTCGTTAAATGAATTTGATAAATAAAACACCCATTTATTCATTTAAATGATAATCAAATATAAATTTCAGCTCATTTTCAATCAAATTGATATATCAGAAGCCGTAAATTCAAAACCGTAAAACAAAATCGCAAAAATGAAATTATTGTAAGATCAGTTTGATTTAGCCTGTTCATGGATGGCAGTGTTAAATGCATTCTACTTTTCATGTTCCTAGCATCAACTTAAGCAGGACTAAACATTTAAAAGATAGAAAAGGAATCTAATATAGAGTTTTGAAAAAAGCCATTGTCAAATTCATACAACGATGTTATTATACTTTAAAATGTCACACCTACGTACCATTACGCGAAAAGCGGCATGTGACATCCAAATAGCTTCAATAATGTTTGAACACGTTAACAGGGTGTTATGGCCATAGAGACAATGCATCTCTTAGCTCCAGCAGGTGAGGTGGTTTGCTTTAAAAATACCCTGATGTTGCTTTAAGTTTTTAACATTTGGTGTTAGCCATATTGATATTTCCTGTTCCGGCGCAATATGACCTTAATTGTGTTGGTGCGCTGTAAAACCAAACAAAACATTCAAACATTTGCAGGAGAATAAAATGATATCTTTCTTGATATAATTTTGACAATTTATAATTTTTCTTTTTTCTTTCTTGCAGTTTTTCACCAATCTCTGCTGGGCAATGATGTTACTACTGGCGACGTTCCCAGTAATGAATCATCACAAAAACAGTCTGGATCTGCAGGCTTTATTTTCAAATGGCTATTTATTATTGCAATTATAGCAACTACTTTCTTTGTATGCATGAAAAGAAAATTGATATCAAAGAAAATAAGTTTTGCAAAGAAATGGATAGCTGATGCTCTGAATAGCAGACTATCTCATCCTCAAGTAGAGCAAAACAATGGCATACATTATAATACACATTCAAACGGTGTATCATCTGGACCTTTAGGCATATCTGGAAATCTAACTTCAAGAGATGATCTCAGTGGAAAATCTGATATTGAACTTAAAGTAATGTCATATTAAAATAAAATGGTTGTAACGTTACATCAGATGTTCCATCAGGAGAAAAGCTGTAATATTATAACAAAGTATTTACATAACCTGTGTAAAAATTCCTCATAAACTAAATTTTTTATTTAATTATTTTCTTTATTTTTCGTTAAAAAGAATGATGTTATATGCAAGCTTTCACGTACCGTAGTAGTTTTCTTAAATAAATTGTAAACTCATCCTTTTAAATTAATTTGCTTTTCAGTTGCTCTCGAATAAATGCTTATTTCATGTACATTTTGAATTCTATTTCCAAGGTCAAACCATTATATTTGTAGTTTGACAAACCTACTAGGTGATATTTATCTGCGGAAGTAGTAAAAAAACAATTAAAATACCACTAATTAAGTATAATTACAAAATACAAACACATATAGTGGTAACACTGAGCCTGTACTAGTTTGTTTGTTTTGTCACTTGTAGTATTTTTATCAAACCTTATTTTTTATTATTCTATTATTCATTATATTTATGTTTATTTGTAGTTTATTTTTGTTACTGATGGCTTAAGCAGTGTATTGAAATGTCTTCTTTCTAATTAAATGAAGTCTGTATGTACATGTATATTATGAAATATATGATGTATGAAAATTGTAATATGACTCAAGGGTTGCGTTCATTGAACGCCGCCTTTCCTTGTTGATCTTGTTTTTCATATTTCAAGGACTGCACTTAATATGTTCAGAAGATTTTTAGATTTTGTTTTCATTCTTTATCATTCAAAGTTTAAAATAGAAGAAAAGACACCATTAGAAGTCGCCAGTTACAGCGAAATGAAAAAGGATGCAAATAAATTTCCTTTAGTCGGTTGTAAACGAAATTATTATTTTCGGAAATCATTGTATGACAAAGTTTTATGTAAGAAGTTAACGGTATCAAAATAAAAAAAAACTATTTTATTTTTTTACGCGTCAGATAGTCGTGAAGTTTCATCATTTTACGACGCAAATATTTTTTTACAAGTAACATTTAAAGTAAAGGTTACTCACTAGGACGAGAGAGCCCTACACTTAAATTCTTTACAATACACTTAAATTACTTACAAAATAATGATTTTTACAAAAATAAAACCTTGCCCGACTTTTGTGTTGTTTTTTTTGCCCCACTCAGATAACAAAATGGTATATACATAGTGATGTTAAATTTTAGTACTTCTGTCACAAAATCAATTAAGAAATCATACAATAACTGAACCCGTTCGTCACTCCAATGGAATAGTTTACAAATCAAGTAAGACTTGCATCTTTACGTTTGTTTGTCAGCTCAATATTTACAATATTGTGGCGAATACTATAATTACTTATCTCAAAGTGCTTTAGTTAAATATAAGGAAACAACTTTATCTTAACGAGATAATTAAATCTTAGAATTCAAGTTTATTTCTGAAGTATTCGACTAGGAGTTTTGATGTAACTGTTCACAAAAGTTTTTTTTAATCGATTTAATATTAGATTGTATTATCATGGCATTCAAAGCAATGTTTGACACATCTACAGATGTTTTTGCCATTCCGTGGTTAAAATGTTGAATTTTGTTAACGCCGGTGCTTTTGAGAGTGAACCATAGCATTGAGTCTCAATCAAACAGTGTTTGATAAAACATTTAGTTTTGCTGCTTTGGGCGTTTGTTAAGGAATTTATTTTCATTATTTTATTGTCACATTAGGATTGTTTGTGCCGTGTGGAGGCCGTAATCAGTCGCCCGTACATTCAATTATAGATGTTTTATTTCGATCCTTAAAGATCTCAGCGTAGCATTATTGTTGTGTTTATGTTACATTTAATTCATACTATTTGAGCTTTTTTCTTCATGGTGGTTCCTGTATTTGTATATGAATAGTTTATTATCAACCTCAAGTTGCAAAAAAATCTGATTTGTATGAATCAGATTGCCAAGTGTTTTGATGTTTGATTCATATTCATATTACGTAGCCTTTCAAAATTTGGTTTCCCATTTCTTTGAAATCATACCCGGGTACATGTATAAGATTTCACTTATAGCTATGATAATAAATACGCGTATATGACATTGCTGTCATTACTTCGAAAGGAGAAGGACACAAATAATTATATACTTAAACTGTTTAATTTACTTATTAAATAGAATGAAGGTGACTGCATTAATTTACATAACAGTTGTGATGATAATTACAATTGGGTTTGTCACCTCAAATTCAGGTAAATTAGTTTAGATTATTAATTGAAATTTTTTATTTAAATTTTTTATCAGTTTAAATCGAAAGAAAACACTTTGGCAAACATAAGATATTTATGACGACATAATATAAAATATTCTGTTACCGAACGAAGCTATCAATAACCAGTTTTCATTGTTCTAAACGTCTTATCATATAAGTTTTCATTTTAAAGAATTTTTGTTACAGACTTTATCTGATTTATATTGATTTTCTTTACATTAAACATTGACATGTGTCTATAAATAGCACTTTTTTCCCTTCAATTTACGACAAAGATGTACATATGGAGACTTTTTAAATGAATGTGTTTGCCCCTAATATAGGCATAAAGTATTCGCCTTATCCGTCAAAAATAAGGTTAAAGTGACATGTTTAAAAGTTATGTACGATAAATAAACAAAAGAAAAAAAAACACTATATTTTCGTCCAAACCATTTGTAAACTTTTCATTTGAAAAGAGTCATATTTTTAGTTATGAACCCCCCCCCCCCCCCAAAAAAAACAAAACAAAAAAAACAACAACTAACTTTAGCTTCCACATTGGTTTTCCAAAAACTCAAACTATTAATAGCTCTATTTTTGTATGATATAACCCAGTTCTAAAATTACAAGCAAGTAACACAGGTAAACATAGGTAAACCAAATTGTTTCATTAAAAGTAATATGAGATCATCGTTTGACAATATAGCACAGTAAGTTATATGAAAGTGAATTAATCTAATGGGTTCGAAACCTGGTGGAAACTGTTTCATTTTTTATTGAAATTTTAATTCTTCTTTTTTTTAAAATACTTACTCTCTGGCAAAATAAGTATATGGTTATGCATATGAACTTAAACATATTTACGGAAACGTATAGGGATCACCCCTACAATATATTGTATTTTGTCACTCATAAAATTGTAAAATATCATATATTTAAAATAACAAACGAATAATACAAAGCTAAAAAACGATAGTGGCATAAATGATATGAAGATACTTAATTCGATTAAAAAGTAACATAAATAAATGAATCAAATAAAAAAACACATTATCATTATGATTATGCTATTGCGACATTATTAATTACGCTTACAATAATCAGACAAACACACAATTAATAGGATGTGCAACATTCAATTTACCTACATATATAGTATAAGTACTATAAATAAATATGAAGAATCATCTGTTGATCGTGCTCGGGTTATAAGGCGGACTGAAGCCTTATGGCAAAACGTCATATTTTCATGTGCCTTGATAGCGTATTTTAAAAAGAGGTCAAAGTCTTTAAGATGAAATCCCTTTTTCAAGTCGGTTCAGTACTCTTGTTTCTTTTATTAATCTCAAAATTTCTTGGCATAGACAAAGCAAATACAAAAGAATCTTCGGGGGCATACGTCAACATTACAGAAGCATTTTGTTTGTTTATGTTGATATTATCTATAAACTTTTTTTTTATATGCACTTGCTTCTTTATGTCTTTTATGTATTTTGGCTTGTATTCAGTCATAAAATAAAACGGTTTTATAATTTTATAAATTGCATAATATTTCTAATGATTTTTTTCAGGTACTGAGGGAGCCGATGTGAAGTCTTCATGCAAGCCTTTTGGTGCTCTAATCATGTGGTATACGGGAAGTGGAGAAGATTCTTCGTTTTTTCAACATAGAAGATTGTTGGTGATGTTAATAAGGGATTTCCCAGATAACACAATTGTATCTATCGTCACGTTCGGCGCTAATGATAATATGAAAATGCAATTTAGCAAACAAGCAGGATCTACTTCTTGGAGGGACAGAATTTTAAACTATAAGCCCGGAAACTCATTGAATCATGTAGTGTCGTATGCAGATATACGAAAAGCACTCTCATATCCTAAAAGTAATTCCAGTGATGCACAACTTGTTTATCTACTAGTCAATAGTAACACCGTAATACGTGATGAAGAAAATAGTTTTGAAGAGCTAAGGAAAAAGAAAACTTTTGTTATTTTATCGGAAATACAAACGGCTGATACAGGACAAAATTGGTTAAAACTTGCTAGTAATGATCACCATTTTTTCGCGTTGGACAGTAAAGAAGTTGATGTCAGCATTACAAAGCAAATAATCCTACTAAAGTCCTGTCAAGGTGATTATTATTATATCTGTATCATTTTAGTTGACAACAATGAAGTGTCAAAGTTTATATATATTTCATGTGCCTTGATAGCGTATTTTAAAAAGAAGTGAAAGGCCTCAATCAAACCGAGCCTGCAACATTTTCAATTTTGCCGTGTTGTGCTTTCTTTAGGGATTCTGTATTTATCTATTTTAAGATGAAATCACTTTTACAAGTATGTTCAGTACTCTTGTTTCTTTTAGGGATCTCAATATATAATATATTGTTATAATCCAGTAATGTTTATAGCTAACAAGAACATCAGGTATGAAAATTATAAGTCGTATTGAATTAAATGCATGTTATGATGACTGTCTTTCATTCAAATATTCACAAAATATGACACAAGACATTATATACTTATGGATGGTTTGATTAAATTTTTTAGATTCGATGTTTGTCTGCGACACTGACATGTACTGGTCAAGAGAAAGGAGCAGATGTGATGTATGCACGAATATATGTTTAAGTGCCTTTAAAGTACAACAGGAGTACTGCGTTCGTGCTTGCCCATGTGAGCTTATTTACGTTTGTTTTATTTGCTTTTGATGTCTTCTGCAATCCCGTTCATTGCTTTATTTCAAATCTAACAATAGTTATGGCATGTGTATAAGAAACAAATTTCATTAAATGTATTGATGAGAATCATTATTTATTAACAACGCTCTGGCAGGAATCAACATTTGAAATAAACATGGTTTATTTATTATTTAGAATTAAGAAAAATTCACCCATGAGTTCATAACACGGAAATTATGAACAGAACAGACCAGAAAATTTATTTAGATTTAAGCATTACAGCTTATCATCATCAACCATTAAGTACATACGTAACATGCAAAAATGTTAGTACCATTGATTTATTTATTTGTACTAGTAGCATGTTTTCCTTGATTTCTAAACTGATTGTTTTAGAGTTTTGTCCCATGTATTCTGACGCTCACTGTCCTGTTGAAGTTGTTTTTGATCATGGGGATACATTTGTAAAAACTCAACCAACTGTCATAAACCAGAGACCTAAATTGTGGGATCAAAATAATATTCAACGTTTGTTGATAACTTAGATACAGATAATGTAAATAGAATAGATGATGAATTAATCACTATACAGGAGACTAACAACTGTTCTCAAGAAATTGTTAATAAGCTAGTAACAGATATTTGCTCAGTATTTAGCAATAGTATCGAAAAAAGCTTTATTACAAATGGTGTTAAACAAACTTCCAGTAATAAACGGAAAATAAATCTTTTACCGCATTGGGCAAATGCTGAATGTAAAGCAGCTAGACGAAATTTTCATCGAGCCAAATATTTGTACAAATTACGTAAAAATGATGTTTATAAACAAACTTTAAAACTGATAGCAAATATATAAAAAAAACAATTGAAGGAAAGTTATAATCAATTTAAAACGACAAATGTTAAAAAACTTAAAAGTCTAAAAAAATCAAGTCCTAGAGAGTACTGGAAGATCCTAAATGGTGGAAAGAAAAACGTTGTTAATTCTGATATAAACGATCTGTATAATTTTTTCAAAAATATTAATAGTTGTAGTAATGACAACTATACACTCTCTGACAACGATATCTCGGATTCACATGTTATCAATGATGAATGTTAAATAAAGAAATATCTTTGCAAGAGATTGAGTTTGCAGTAAAATTACTTAAGAACAATAAAGCATGCGGTTTAGATAATGTTTTAAATGAACATATTAGACACTCCTTCCCCATCATGAAACATATTTATAACAGACTTTTTAACATTATTTTTAACTATGGTGTAATACCTGATTCCTGGACAGTTGGTGTTATAAATCCCATATATAAAAATAAGGGCGAGGCTAGTGAGCCTAGTAACTATCGACCGATCACACTGCTGAGTTGTTTTTGAAAACTATTTACCTCTGTTTTAAATATACGATTACAATATTTTGCGGGTAAACATGATCTAATAAATCAATATTAAGCTGGTTTTCGAAACGGGTTTGCAACTGTAGATAACATGTTTGTTTTAAAAATGTTAATTGATCTACTTCACCATTCTAAGAAAAAAATATTTTGTGCTTTTATAGACCTAAAAAGTGCATTTGATACCATTAGTAGGTCAAGACTGTGGATAAAGCTGAATAAGAATGATATAAGTGGTAAATTTTTAAATGTTGTCAAAAGTATTTACAATAATGCCAAAACTTGCGTATGTGCAAATGGTGAAAAGTCTGATTTCTTTCCATGTAACATTGGTGTTAGACAAGGCGAAAATCTATCGCCGTTGCTCTTTTCTTTTTATTCCCTGCGGTCTGAGACCGCAGGGTATTGGTACGCGTTTAACTTTTGAGGCATGGAGGAGCACGTGACGTGTTTTCGGTACATGGAGGAGCATGTGATCTGTTAACCGTACATGATTGGTTAAATGACCTTTTCGAAAACCTGGCTAAATACCGTTTGCCGGTACGTTACGGATTTACCTCTAGGGAATGAGTCAGAATAACACCTAATTAAGAACAAAAAACTATTACGTGATATTTCTAATTTTCTATAATTATATTACCATTTAAGGTGGAAAACTTGAATGATGTGTTTGAAAATTATCAATGTTTCTTTAATATGTATCTCAAATTTTACAAACAATAAATTGTTTATACTTCGACCTTCTCCGGTCATCAACGGTCACCAGTTTCCAAAGACCTTCTTCTATATTGATCGATTATTGTTAACTATATTCCTGAAACAAACGTTATTTCCCCCCCCCTCCACCCCCACCCCCCAAAAAAACAAAAAAACAAAAAAAGAAAACAATGTTGAAAATAGTTAAATGAAATATATTTTTATCATTAAAATGTTCCCCGCAGGAAACCATTTTACTTGTTTGAATGATTTGCATGATTATTTTTTAAATAGTAATAGTATAGAAGGTGTAACATGTAATGATGAAGTACTTGGACTTGTAAAATTGTTTATTTTTCTATATGCTGACGACACTGTTATTTTATCTGAGTCAGCAAACGATTTACAAATAGCTATTAACCTATATAAAAGTTATTGTGACAAATGGCAATTAACAGTTAATACATCTAAAACAAAAGTTCTTATATTTTCAAAAGGTAGGCGAACGCAGTATAGTTTTACATATGGTAATGAAAATCTAGAAGTTGTCGAGGAATTCAAATATCTAGGAATATTATTTAGTAGAAGTGGTAGTTTTTTAAAAGCAAAGACCTATATAGCTAACCAAGCAATAAAAGCCATGAACTGTCTAATTAAAAAATCAAAAAATCTTCAATTACCTTTAGATATGCAAATAGATTTGTTTGACAAACTTGTAAAACCAATTTTATTATATGGTTGTGAATGCTGGGGATATGGGAATAACAGTATACTTGAAAAAGTACAATTGAAATATCTGAAACATATATTAGGCCTAAAATCAAGTACACCAAATTGTATTGTGTACGGCGAATGTGGTGTTAAACCAATTTCTATTGATATTGATTGCACAATGATCAATTTTAGGTCTAATCTAGTTTTACCTAATGAATTAAAATTATCTAGCACATTTTATCAAATTGCTCTTAAAACTTATAATACAAGTAGTAATGTTAATAGACAGACATTTCTGTGGTTTAAGCAGCATATAAAAATATACTTGTTAAATGTGGAAACCCTAATGTATGGACCTATCAGATGTTTCCTAATCACAAATGGTTAGTTGCCAATGCGAAGCAAAAATTGTCAGATATAAATTTAAATGACTGGTATTGTACAGTAAACGAATCAAGTAAATGTAAAAATTATAGATTATTTAAAGAAACATTCCATTTCGAGCCCTATTTAATAAATACACCAAAAACTTATTAAGATATGTAATTAAGTTAAGAACAAGAAACAGTAGACTTCCTGTAGAAACCGGAAGTTGGAATGGTATAGATTTAAATTTACGTAAATGTACTCTTTGTAACAGCTCCGGAAGTATTGGAGATGAATTCCACTATCTCTTTGAATGCAATGAATTATCTGTACTAAGAAAAAGAATGCTATAGATCATAATTATTTAAGACATCCAAATATATTAACTTTAAAATTTATTATGAATATGAATATGACTCATTGTAATGAATACAGAAATTTTTGTTTATTTGTTAAGGAAATAATCACAAAATTTGAGAATAGTTAACATTTCTACATATTTGTTCATCATGTCTTTGAAAATGCGTGTTTCTCTCCATTTTGTTAAGATGAATTGTATTAATATTATTATTTCCATGTGTATGCTATGCCTCTTTATGTAATGTACGTTTATATGCTATAGCTCATATTGTCATGTGTGTACATGAATTGAGTTATGAAATAAACTTTGAAACTTTGATACAATATTACAAATAAATAAGTAGCATACGAAAATTATGATGACATCTAAATGTTCACACATATGTTCAGCGACGTTAACACTTTTAAATATGTTTTTAAGTTATTTTACCTTTAAATCATTTTTTATAAGCAACTATTTTCTTTCTTGCAGTTTTTCATCAACCTGAAGCATTACAAATATATACCGAAACAGTAGTCTGTTATAACTCCCCTTGGCTAATAATTGGTATTATACATGGAATTGAACTCACAGTAGTTGTTCTCTCCTTGGTTGCATACAAGAAAAGAAGAAGTTTATTGAAGTGTAAAAATTCTGTATGTAGATGGATGGCTAATCCTCAGGACAACTTACCATATCATATGAAATCAACACAAAGAAGTGAAACAAAAGACTTGTACGATAAGACAGATTCAAAGGATGAACGCGTTAAACTATTGGACGAATATAACAATCCAACCGATAGCAATGATTTCGGAGAAAAATCTGACATGGAACTTAAGGTATTTTCCTAAAAGGATAATTGAACTCAATTTAACGGTAATGAGAAAAGTTCGTCTAATAAAAAGGAAATATATTGTAGAACCGATATTTAAAGCGAAATATATGTAACCACTACTCTACAGATCATTGAATGTATCGTTTAAGTCATGTGCTAGGGTTAACAATTATAAGACATACTGGTTTAATGTCAATTGTAACTTACATCACGGTATTAGTCGAATTGTTTCACTATCGTTAATATTCTTTCGCGAGTGTATTCTTTGAGCTGGGAAGAGAGCGTAGTGTCAGGGGTATATTCTTTCACCTAAATTGTATTATTTTTCCATCACTGATTTGTCCATTTATCTTAAATCATTGGGTAAAGATATCAACACAGTTGAAACGAGAATGATTGTATAATGCTCTACGCCGACCGATGATATTGTTAGCAGAGGATTAGCAAGTGCTTCTGAATGCTCAAAATGGTTGGTGTTCATTTAGTACATGTAATAATATAAATGTTAATGCCAATAAAAGTAATGTTGTAAACTTCCGACCTTAGTCTGTATAATGTACTCCGTTCATGTTTACTTGCGGAAAGAATAAGCTTTTTATTGTTGGTAGATAAACTTACAAAGACGTTGTACTTTTGAACATTTGGGTTATGATATAACTGTAAAATCTGTTGCCCAGAGTGCAAGTCGTGCTTTAGGATTGCTTATTGCTAAATACAAAGCGATTGGTAGCGTACCATTCGTTTACCATACATCTTTGCAAAGTTATACGACTCCGTCGTTTGGCCAGTAAATAATGACAGCGCTCCATTATGGGGTTTCTGGTCATATTCCTGTATCGAGGCCGTTCATAACAGAGCTATGCATTTCTGTCTTGGTGTTTGAAAATATTCACCTAATGATGGTATAGATGGCAATATAGGTTGAAAATCCCCAAAAGTCCGACAATTGAAAATAGCGTTCTTTATATTGGTCTAAGCTTTAATGTTTGAATTTGACAAGAATTTGGCAAGAATTAATAAACGTTTGGCTCTCTTAAGCTAGTCGCTTATTAGGAAACTGACCATTTAATGTTTGAAGTTATTATGATGTCGATGCTTTACATATGTACTTCAGTTTTTAACAAAATTATTATTTTAGTATTTTTTTAAAATTTGATTTCTGGTTTAATGCCTTCTGATTGTCTTTAATTCTTCTAGTCAAGCTGTTCATCTTTTGAGTTTATGGATAGCAATGGTTTAATAGTTTTATAATATAACTTTGTCATTTTAATGATATATTTATGTATATATATATATATTTTAACTTTGTGATTGTGTTTGTTCATTTTTTATTACGCCATGTTGGATTGGCATTGTACTGTAAACTTTTGTCTAAAACGATGTGTATTTAATATCTGTACAATGATGAGATGTAAATAAAGATAACTACTCTTACTACTAATGCACTTCGCAAGTAACTGGATTGGTTGTAAACATGACATAGATAATTGTATAAATACATTGTTGAATTGCGATCCGTTTCTGTTATATATTCAACAATAAATGACAGCATATTTATCTGGAAAAACGCAGTAGCACAACAGGTCATTTACCCCCTTTGTTTTGGTTAAAACAAAACTTACACATAGCTTGCTTGAGATGCTGATTTAATCGGAAAGTATTTAATTTTAAAGTTAAAGTTCGTGTCCGTTACTTAAATTAGTTATCAAAGAATGTGAAAATAAAGTGATCTTTTTGGACAAAATAAACACAATTTAAACCACTAAATATACTTAAATTATCTAACTGGTTACAGTAATTATCTAGAGTATCGGCCCCTTCTATGAGAAATAGCGGGGACCTTGACTTTTTGATTTCACATGATGGTAAATCCATGTTATATAGCCACAATGTAATGGAGCATCATTGAAACTAATGTATCGTGACACTTACGAACACTTCTATATTAATTTATTTGTATGAAGTTACATGATGAAAACTTTCCATTTTTAAATTAGATATTACAGTTTTACGTTTTATTAACATAATTAATTCAACTTAGAGGAAATAAATTATCAACATGGAAAATAATGTCATATTGGCTTAAATCATAAAAAATGCCTGGCTCGAAAGTGTATAATTATTAAACAGAAAAAAACTACTTACGTAATATTAAGCTTGACTAAAAAATAGGTAAAAACAATTTATTTGCTCGAATTTGATTGCGTAATATCAAGTTATTTTTGTACATGGGAAAAACCTATCTAAGCTATATTTACCAACGGTTGAAAACGTCAACAATATTGGAAACCTAAGTTATATTTATCCAATACAGTGGTATGGTTTATGTTGACAAATACATATTTGTATATTGGAAAAAGAATTACATGTGTCAGTGTAAAAAAGTAAAGTTAGCAGGAAGAAGAAGAAGAAGAAGAATGATTTTATTTTCAACTTGTACACAACATATGGTACATCGTTGTACAATATACATTTACAAAATACATGGCATATGGTTAGGTATCGGTAAAAGTTACAATGTCGTTTGACAAATACAGTTTATTTCTAACCAATTAAGGAATTCATACCTTTTTTCTAAACGATTTTGCATTTAAATAAGCACAATATTGAGGGGAATTAAAGCAATGTACATAAGAAACCTAATTTAAGACCACTCTGGATTTAAGACCATCCCCCTATTAAGACCATTTTTTTAAAGTATGGAATTTTATATACTTTATATTCATGGTAACATGATCCAGAATGAACTATTAGGACCACCAGTATCAGTCCCAATTCTTTGTTTTATTCGTTGTTTGACCCAACTATTGAGAACATTGACAATCCGGTTAACACCTATTTAGATTACAAAGTTTTTGTTATGCTCATAGGTATGACACTTGCCGTAACTTTGCTATAATTGGGCTTATAACACTTATATTGTATATATTAAGGTGATAAAATAATTTTTTAGCGGTTTAATGTTGCGCTCTGCATAGTTATTTTGTTAAGAATTAAATTAGTATTTGATAGGTATATAATATTGAAACCAGATTTATGAGAATTCAAAAATAAACTTCTTCAGAAATATGTTTTTCTCTCATCAGATTAAATATCATTAAATACATTTGTAGTAGTATTTGAATGTATAAAACAGATTGTTTGTTCATACAGAATGACTAAAATAGACCGTGTTTTTAAAGTTATATATAAATAATGTTAGTTTGCAGATAATACTCGTCTACTAGTCAAAGACTGATTGGTATCAATGTTTTATTAGAGTATTAAAGACTTTGTAGCAAAAGCAGCTATTACGTCTTCTTGACTCGGAGGCATGAACACTAAGGAATAGAGAATGGGGATGGCAGTCTGCATTTACAACTACCGTGCATGAACAGATTCAGCCAAACCGAGACTGCAACATTTCCTTTTTTTGTCGTTTTGAGCGTTCTTTTAGAAATATAACGTATGTTCATTATTATCACATAAGCATTGTTTGTGTCATGTTCAGGCCATAATTAGTCGCCCCGTACATTAATCTAGAGATATTATATTTCCGATGCTTTAGGATCGTTCAGAACAACATTATTGTTGTGTTTGTAGAATGTTTACATCACCTGTCACAAAGTTACAAGGTGGACTTTTGTAATCGCTTTTCGACCGGCGTCCGTCCGTCCAAAACTTTTACGACATCTCTTCATAAACCGTTATGTTACTTCACAGACATGTTTCTTTGCTGGTCAACTTAAAAATGAAAACTGTTCAAAACATTTATTTCTATGCAGAACTCTAGTTGCCATAGCAACCGAAAAAAAGGTTTAAAAATCTTTTTAAAATCCAAAAGAGCTAAAGTTTAGTGATTGGCATGAAACATCTAGTGTGTGTCTATCAAGTTTGTTTAAATAAAAGCTCTGGGGTCAAAATTGGCATCCCTCCGGGGGTCATTGATTTTCCTTTTACGTATGTTGTAAAATACTTCTATTAAAACCCCAAAGAGCTAGAGTTTAGATAATTTCCATGAAACATCTTCTAATTAGTGTCTAGCAAGTTTGTTAACAAAAGCCCTGGGGTCAAAATTGGCCCCAACCCAGGGGGTCATTGATGTACACATCTTTTGAACTGTTGTTGTTCTTTAGCAATAGCAACCAGTAATGTGTTTACACATGCACTATTTCAGATACAAATTTGAACTTTGTGATATCAGTTTAAGATTTAAATTTAACAAAAATTGATTTATTATAATTATGCTGTGAAATGTATGACGATGTCAAACCAATGTAATTGATTGTTTCAACAGAAAAATAAATACATTTTATCAGATAAAACATATTTTAAAAACGGCTGCACCTAGTTTGCAAACATTCTTTAAATCACCCAAGGTAATTTGTATAAATCTTCATATTCTATGTGTTTTAGAATATTGTTCTTTTGAAAAATTGTTTTTCAACATTTTAAAAGAATATATTCTGTGTTTATTTTATATGTGTTTAAACTACATTTAAGACTAAGAACTAGGGTTGGTGCGCCTAAAACCGGTTGTGTTATTATTCCGACGTACCAAGGCGGTACCTCTTTCTGTTTTACACTAAAGTGCTGAAATCAACGACCCCGAAGGACCAGAAAAATATAAGACAGCTGCACCTAGTTTGAACCCAACCTTTGAATCGCCGTCAAGGGAAATGTGTATTAAATATCTATGTTCTTTTTTAGTTTATAGAATAATTTTCTTTTAAACAATTTGGAAAATATGGTAATCTTTTCAAATTGTAAGTCCGTGGAAGAATATGTTCTTTAACATTTAAAGAATTTAATTCTTTGTTTATTTTGTATCTGTTTTAGCTACTTATCAAACGAAGGCTTATAATGACAAAGAGGGATGTTTGGTGGTGCGCCTTAAACCGATTAAATCTTCCAACCAGTCACTGACAGTTCCTAGGCAGTTACCCCTGTGTTCCTCCTTTTGTAGTAATCGTACTTGCTTCGGCTGTTGAGAGGCTGTCGACCAGTTTCGGGGTTAATCTTCGCGCGAAATAAAAAAATCCATATTCGTATGCCTATCTGGTGTCAAATTCGGGACAGTATGACGTCTGCATAAGTAATGGCTATGAATGTTCAGTAGGCGTACGCCAAGGAGAGTGTTTGATCCCTTTCTTTTTTCTATGTTTTAAGCGTTTTAGCAGATTGTTTTTTTTTCTTCATAATGACCTGGAAGGAATAGATGTTAATATGTTTAAAATGTTTATAATTTTATATGCGGCTGATATTGTTATTTTTTCTAATAGTAGCTAATTATTGTGATAGGTGGAAACTTACGGTAAATACGGTTGAAACGAAAATTATGATATTTAAAAGAGGCTGAAGATTGCCAGATAACTTAGTTTTTTTATTATGAAGATTGTTGATATTAGTTAATAAGTTCACTTATTTAGGTTTAGTATTCACAACGGAAAGCACAGAATACCATTGCTGGACAAGCAATGAAAGCAATTTTCAAAATTGATAAGTGGATGTGTAAATTTGTTAGCATTTCACTTTCCCATAGTTTAGAACTACATGTATTTGTAAACTTATAATGCCTATTTTGAATTATGGTAGCGAGGTTTTGGGGTTTATTAAAGGTAATATTGTAGATCGAGTACATATGCAATTTTGTAAACGGATTATTGGTGTAAAAAAGTTACTCAAAACGATTTAGCATATGGTGAACTAGGTAGAATATCATTAAAATCAGTACGTTACTATAATATTGTAAATTTTTGGGTTAAGATATTGCATACAAATGAAAATAAATATGTGAAGAAAGTTTATACATAACTGAAAAATGATTTTGAAAATTTGCCCAACAAAACTAACTGGTGTTCACTTGTAAAACATATTCTGTGTGATTAAGGTTTTTATGAAGCTTGGTTAATGCAAAGATAAACAGATCAATTCGTACAAAATTGGTCGTTTAGATTAGATAACTCGAGTAGAACTCTGTTTAATATGCAACTTTAACTTACAACCATACATAAATTTTATTCATGTGAAAGGATTCTGGAGAAGTGTAACTAGGTTTAGAGTTTTATCTCATAGGCTTAATATTAAGACTAGTAGATGGACTAAACCCCATAATCCACCATTTAATGAAAGAAATTTTTTGTCGTAACGTCCTAGATTTTGTATTGGATTGTAAATTATATAGTGATATAAAAGAAAACGGTTAATACCTACTTACTATTAGAAAAGACCAAATACGTTAAAACATCATAAACTTATTAAATACCGAAAACATTTGTGTAGCACGTAGGTTTGGTAAATATGTGGATATCGCTTTTGAAATTAGAAAAGAGAAGTTGTATACAAATCGTAATCAATCTTCGTGATGTCCATAAGTAAAACTTTCATAGTATTGTGATGTCCATAAGTGAAACTTTCATAGTATTTTTGATTTTCTATGTATATATGTCTATGTATGTATATGTATGTATGCGTATATGTATGTTTATATGTATATGGTTACATATATGCACGATAGCAAATTTTAAAGTTTTCTAAAACTTACTCCACGACTCTTCTTGCGAATAATAATTAAGTGTCACGATGTAACGTCTATACGACTATACATTACATAATAATATTGTTGTGTTCTTTGTTAACTGAGCATTAGATTTCGAGCATTTAAAGAATATCTCTCTTCAATCTATATGTTGATCTTGTGTTTTGTTTCCGATAAGATCAGGATACTTACAGTATGCAAATTTCTACCTAAAATAATAAAGACTCATAATTTATGTTGGTCTTGTATTTCGTTTTGACAAGATCAGGATATGACTAGTATGTAAGGACTCATCTATCTAAAACACATAGTTATTTCGTGGAAGGGCAGGAGAAGTTTATAGAATACGCCACATACATAATTTTGTAAACATTTAGATATTATTAGAAATGGATTATAATAATCAATACTAAGATGTTTCAACATACAAATGAAAGTTAACCTTCCCCGTTGTTCACTAAATCTTGTTTGAAATTTATTATTGTACACTGTCTTGTGTATATCCTCACGGGCCATGTGGCCTTATGGAATTTGAATAATAAACTTGTCAAACTTATCATACCTGCTGAATCTGATTTATGATAAGTAAAATACTTAGTATGAATAAATAGTATAATCGCTTATTTTTTATTAACGTTCATACAAAAGTTGTTGTACATACCTCACGCTTAAATAAGAGGGTTGGTTAATACACTTAAATCGTTTTATTACAAGTTTAAAGTAAAGTATAAGTTTAAAGTATAGTATAAGAACACTATTTATTATTGTCAATAATTTTCAATATCTACATTATTATTGTTTGCAAATGCCAAAATGTTATCAACTTTCTATTTATATTTAAAACGTCAAAACATTTACATAACTAATAATAGATACTATATCACAATTCGGGTATAGGACTACGGATCAATATTTTCCGCGTTTCGATATCGTTAGATAAAATGAAGTTTACTGTATTGTTTTTTACAGCAGTTGTGATATTAATTACGTTAGGAAATGTGTATGCAAGTTCAGGTACATTTATTCCACTTGTCGATTTTGATCAAAAATACACTTCTTAAAAGGCAAATACACGTTGTCGTTCGTATGTCATGGCGCTATTTAAAACTCAAACATGGTGGCTGATTTCTGCCATTTCGTTACTTCGCCAGGCGAAGATTTATATATTTTATTAAGCTATCGCCTTTGACTTTTCAGGGCACGGATACGAAAGTACAGTATATTTTATGCGAAATACACGATAAGTAAGGGTACGAAGACACGAAATGGCAGACATCAACCACCATACTCGATGGATCAAACTATTCTTTAAAACGTTAAATTTCATTGATTTGTTTTAATGCTTATTTGATATAAATCGTTTTAAGGAACTGTTTCACAGATTGTTAACTTATAATACCCATTTTTAATAAAAAATATTAACTTTCTCAGTGTCATTGTCAAGGATCCCACATCTCTATATATATCACAAACTTGGTTTTCCATTTACGAAATATAGATAATGAAATCATTTGGAAAATAAACAGTTTATTAAATAATTTTGTAAATCGCATTGCCCGGCTATCATAAGGGGGCTTTGTGATAAAGAGGGTTAAGTGATAAAAAACACACACGTATGTTTGATTTTTAGGCCATTTTCACTTGACTTTAAAAACATGAAGGGTTAAATTAAATATGTACTAAAGAAGGATTGGCCATATTTTAACTTCAAACTGAAATCGTTAAATCTCATCAGGCATTCTTAAATATAAAAAATACACAATGTTATTCAAAATAAAATCTATACCGAATTCTTTAAAACTTGTTAAATAATATTGAGAATTTCAAGACATACTGATAATTGTAGGTTTTAGTCCAGAGTATTTAAGCACAGTAGAAGTGTGTAGGCCTTGTTCTGTGCTTTTAAACGTCTCTAAGAGTAAGATATTTTAGTAAATATTGTTAAATGTCTCAACGTTTACACAAATAATGCTTCTCGTTATCGGATAGATAAGACAAACCTTAATACCGACTCGTTTTATAGTGTTTGTTTGTTTCCAGATTATTTAAACTTTGTGTACATACCATGCTTTCTAGAAAATATTCTAAATTCAAATTTCGACGTTTATCTTTGGGCACAAACATTGTGCATTTTTACCAATACAGTACACATTAAAGTTCTGAATTTCTGCCACTTATATGCATTATAAAATATAACATTTTCATTCCTATCTACGCAAATACGATTCTTCAGATCACATCACACAGTAATTTTAAGACTTAAAACTTTGATTTTGTTAACATATCATTTTCAATTGATACTGGCGATTTCAAGAATTGAAAGACAGAACGATTGGGAAGATTTCAAAATCATTTTATATAAAGAGAGATTTCGAATCTATAGTTCATTTAGTTTATCTTGTTAACACGCAATTTTTCTTTTAGGCACTAAGGATGCCGATGAGAAATTATCATGTAACCCGTATAGCGCTCTTATCATATGGCACACGGGTAGCGGAGAAGATAATTCCTTTTTTCAACAGAGAAGATTGTTGGTAATGTTAATAAGTGACTTTCCTGAAAACACAAGTGTATCAATCGTCACAATTGGCGCTAAAGAGGATATAAGACTACAGTTTAGAAAACAAGATAGAATTGCGAATTGGAGAGACAAAATTTTACAACATGTGCCGGGAACGGCATCGAATCATACATTATCTTACACAGAAATACAAAAGGCAATACTATACCATAAGACTAATTCTAGTGAAGCAGAACTTGTTTATCTACTAGTTAATGATAAAACTGTAATACGCGGTGTCGAAAACAATGGTTTTGAAGAGCTTCGGAAAAAGAAAACTTTTGTTGTGTTATGTGAAATACAAACGGAAAATAGATCACAAACGTGGATAAAATTTGCTAGCAAAAAATTATTTTATTGCATTGGACAGTATAACAGGGGATGTCAATAAAACGAAGGAAATAATTCTGGCCAGGTCCTGTCAAGGTGAACATTATTATTATTATAAAAGTACTTTAATTTTGAGTAATAAGTTTTAAAAATAAAGTAAGTAGAAAAGTTTTTTAAAAATTTTATTGCTGTTTATAATTTGCTTAAAACACTTACCAATCTTTTCACTTTCTTTTCTAAAGAGATTTATGAAAATTGGCACACAACACAATGTACATGGTTTCTTTTATAGATTCAAAATATGTCTGCGACACTGATATGTACTGGTCAAGTGATAGGGAAGGATGCAATACATGCACATATATATGTTCCAGTACCTGCAAGGTGCAACCGGAGTATTGCTTTAATGCTTGTCCATGTATGTCTACTTACATTTTTATAGATATCTTCACCTGCCATGTTATTTGATTCATAAGTCCCGTGTGTCCGCCGTAAAATGTTTCCACGTACTTCACTTCAGTGTTAATATATCTATCTGGTTCTTCGGATCGTTGATTTCAGCACTTTGAATTGTTAATATTGAGTACCACTCAAGGCGGTAGTAGGAGCGTTGCACTTTTTCATTATCCGTCATGTACAGACTAATTCAAACCGACTAATTCAAACCGAGTCTGCAGTTTTCATGTAATTTTGCTGATTTGCTTCCGAAGGATCAATTTTTTTCCAGATAATCATATCATGATTTACGTGTATGTTTGAGAATCTCTTATTAGTATTGATCAAGGTAAATCTTATGATTATTTTTATTTTTACAGAAAAATATTAAAACTTTTAAAATAATTGTAAATATCTCTTTAATAATAGCTTTTTTCCTTTTTTTGCAGTTTTTCACAAATATTTTCTGGACAATGCTGGAAAAATAAACAAGGACAAAGATTGCAATAGTGAACCATTACAAGACCATGCTAGGCAAGTATCTGATAATAAATCTTGCATGTCTTGGCTAATTATTATCATTGTATGCATACTATTATCAGGTATTGTTACCCTCGTATGCAAGCAAAAAGAAAGGTTATTGAGCTCTCTAAATTCTGCATGGAGACATTTTATGGAAAGAAGATCCCCTTTTCCTGCAAGATACACAAACGACGAGATCAGTGAACTTAAGGATCACTGAAACAATTGACAATGTAAAAGTTCATCTACTTAAACCTATCATAGACGCAAACATGAGTAACACCGTAGCTCACATCGTGTCAGTGAACCAGAATTGACTGTCTTACATTAACACTGAGATACAACAAACATGACTGCATATAGTGAACCTAGTAATTGTTATTAATGTTATGTAGTGATGGGAATTCTAATTAACATATGTTGGTTTAAACATATTTATTTAAGCTCAATTTCAAAACAAGTTCTTGAAACTTATATTAATTAACTTAATCACTTTCGACTTTCGACTATACATGTACTGGGTCTTTGGTTTTTTTCTGAAATCAGACTGAGAAAAGCTTCGGAAACAAACAACCGACATACAAAAATTATCATTTATCTTAAATAAAAACATTTATGGATGCGACATATTATTATATCCAAGAATTATAGTGGTGTTAGCTTACAGTCCGGTATTACAATAGCAAACGGGTGTTAGATCGCTGTCCGCTTAGTGGACAGTTTTTAGTTAGTTCATTAACATAAATAAGTATAAATTAGTAGCCATTTTGTATTAACAAAAAGATAAGATTTTTAAAAAAAAACCCTCCCTCCACTCCCTCCACTCCCAAATGAGGCGTGTTGATAGTTAACCAATAATTACATTTGTTTAGTTAGATGCATTTGTTCTAGATTGCATTATTCATGCCAAATTGTTTCTGTTTTGCATTATTGCATAATTTCATTTTATTTTGAATTGTTGCATAATTGTTGTTTTGATGATTAACTAACATTTAATTTCTGTTCTCAGACATCCATAATAGTTGATATTTTAGCATTGTTGCATAATTGCATTTATCACAAATGTATTCATTTGATATGTTTTTTTGTTTTACATTTGTATGTTTTACTATTATGCGATTTTAACTTCTAGTCATTTAAAAAGCATTATATGACAATTTCACTGCACTGCGTCTTTGTTTTTATCTGAAAACCTCGAAAACAAAAAACTGGCATACATAAAAAACTGCTGTCAGAAAACGATAGAGTTTATAGTCCGGTAAGAGAACAACATCCACTCTGATTAATTTTAACAAAATCATTATTTATACCACAAAAAAGTATGTGGTATAAATGTCTTGTACTTAACAGTTGCAAGCTGTACTCATTGGCAAAACAAAATTAAATAGATGTAAAAAACTTAAGATTGTTGTGTTTATTTATGAACTACGTGGCATGCCATTGTCAGTACTTTTCGGAGTTGGAGGTAATATACGTCATAAAGTTAATGGCGGCGTCAAAGACACACACGACACGATTCGTCGTTAATTTCTGTTATGTAAGTCACATCTATGTTTTTTTCCATAAAATTTAGAAAGTAAACTCGATTTAGTGTGCTTTCTGTCTGCAAAATTTGTTTTAAAGTATGTTGTCAAGACCGAACTTTCTTAAAATGAATATGCACATTTTAGTATACGAAATGTTTTTAGTTGTCTGCAATGACTACACATTAGAGTTAACATATAACATATAATATAATGTTCGATGAATGAACAAAAGTGTAGGCTAGACTTTAGAATATGTCCGCAGCTATTTTTAACATTTTACACAAAAGTAATTCTTCAGTATGTATCAGTTTATGTTTCTCTAAACATCACTCAGATTAGTTCTAAAGTTACGATGGGTTACGGTTTGTGTTACATGGATAAGGGGTTATTGTTTGGGCTTACAGGGTTAGGATTTGGATTATAACACATGCATTTTGCTGCGGACAGGTTTTATTAGTCAGAAATTATTGCATAAGTGAAATTAGGCGTATATTACATTCTTATATATATTCAGAGAATTATTTCATCTCCAGTGTCGTTTAAGTTTAGTAGTTAGCACTCACTAAGGTTATTATGTTAGATAGACAGTCATTATTTAACGATAAACCCAAATAGCATTCTAATGTAAATGTTAAGTTATAATTCGCCGCCTATTAATGATAATCACTATGACTTAGTAGGCATTTTTATATACTGACTTAATGGCCATTGCATATTTTTAATAAGTAAATACAAGAGTATAGAGTTACTAATAAAAGTAACAAACTTATGTATCAATGAATAATATAATTGCTTATTTTATTAAGGTAAACATAAAGTAGTTGAATCACAATTATTGAAATAACAAAAAATTAGTATTTATTTATCTTGGGGAACACGTTTATTGCTAATTCTTGTTAAATTGTTTGCATTCGAAAACTGTTTCTTATATTACTGTCATTTTAGCTATAGTCATTTTATTTAATTGGATATTGTTTGAAAATATAATCAAAACGACCAGAATAAGAAAAAAAACGTTTTTGATTATGTTCATGCATTTTTGTGACTTGATAAATAATTTGTTGTTGTTGTTATTATTATTATTAATTGTGAATTGTACGATAGTAAGATCTGTATGAAAATAAATGTTACATACCTCATGCATTTAATAAAACTACTAAATACGACTGTGTGTGAATATGTTATGTAATATGGTCAATAAATTTAACAAAAGAGCAAATATTTTTATATTTTCTATTTAAAATCTCCTCAGTAATACAAGGTTGTAGACGTTTTATTTATTTTTAAATGTTTCCATATAGGCCTACTTAAGTATGCATTTCAATAGCTAAAGTGGCGCCAAAGTCCATTTCTCCTCTTGTAGCGATGATCTTTCTTTTCGTGTCTTGGAAAGAGGAAAAGGTCACAGGATGCCAAGTATTGAGAATAAGGTGGATGCTTTTGGACAGTCAATCGTTTTTCGCAGGAAGAAAGAAAAAACAAACAACAACAACAACAAAAAGAGTGTTTGCAAGAGCGTTGTCATATAGACAATATAGACCTTTTATACCAGTCAAAGAACGAACTTTATTACGTGTTTTTCTTTTTTTCTTCATACGACATCTCTATAATATTTGGATGTGATATAGTTTTGACCACATTTTCACGCGTATTGAAAAAATAACGTGCATAACTTTGTGGACACTTGTCAACCGCTTGGCAATGCATGACTGACGAACATTTGTGGTGCCTTAAACGCTAAATAAGAATCTATACTAATTGCATTATTTATTGACACACGAAACTAAGTGATTATCGACTAAGATTATATCATTAGCCTTACGTTTGAATAAAAAATTGGAAGCAAGAGAGATGGTGATAAATATCAGAAAAATTATTGTCTACGGCGTTCTCTCAATCTGATCTCCATTCAGATAATATTAGTCTACTAGTCGAAGACTGTTAAGTCGAATTTGGTACACATTATTTTAGTAAAGCAGCTGTTAAACCAACGTGATTCGGGGGGGGGGGGCGTGGTCACTATGGGCTAGAGGATTGGAATGGTAATTTGCACCTACAACTACCGTCCATGGACAAGACCAATTAAACCGAGCCTGTGACATTTTCGTTTGTATCGTTTTTGGCGTTCATAATGAAGTCTTATTTCTCTAATTTTTATTGTCACGTACGCATTGTTTGTGCAAAGTTGAGGCCATAATAAGTGTCCTCGTCCATTCCTTTAATGAAAGTCGTTCATCTAACAACATAAGAGTTGTGTTTGTGGTATCTTTAATTCATTCTTTTTGAACATTTCCTTGTTGGTGCTTCCTGTATTCCTACTTGAATAGTGTATAATCACACTGAGGATATATTTACAGCATTTTAAATTGTCTTTTGACGTCTGCCTGTCATATCCATTTTTTTATAGAATCAAGTCTACTTTCAAAATTTAACTATATATTATTAAAGTTCATCCTTTCCTCATTTAGGGCACAAGCGTTTTTCACTTCGGGACTGAATGGCACGAAGTGTCACATTGAAGGTTCCACCAAAATTGCCACATGAACAAATCTATGTATGTTTGCAAGTTAAAAATTCCACCGTTGTCCTGCTTGAATGTTAAGTACTGCTAAAACCTATACTAGGGTGTTTATTTCACTTACCACTACTAAACATGCTCATTCAAACTGAACTGTTTCGAGTGATGTGTAAAGACTCTAGTTTCTCTATTCTGTTGGAACATGACACAATTTGCTCGAACGAGAAATAGAAACAAGTTTCTAAATAATTATATGATAGACCTCTTTATTTTAATGAAGTGTATCATAAAGGAAAACAACAACAAAACAGTAATAAATTTATTATAATTATGCTGTGGAATGTATGATAAAACCAAACCAATGTTATTGTTTCAACAAAAAAATAATGCATTTTATCAGGTAGTTTCATTATGGATATTAACTTATTTTCAAAAACGGCTGCACCGTTCCAAAGTGGTACCTCTCTGTGTTCCTTCATCTGTTTTACATGTATTTCTTGAGTATTGTTACATGTTTTGTATTTTTAAACGTTCTTAGATGTCTTATCTTGTCAAATTGTCCTACATATTACCATTTCTTCCCCTCATGTCGCACTTTTGGCCATCTTTTCCTTACACCCAAACTTTATTTCCGTACCGGCCCTTTAGTTTTTATCCTTTTATTTTTACATTCCTTTCTCTCCTTTCACCGCCTTTTGCATCCTCTCCCGTTTTTGGTTCGGCGCCTTTTGGGTGACTTTTGCAGAACCGTTTACTTAAAAACCATCATCTCATTTTAATCGATCCGATCAAAACATTTTGTTTTGATAACCTTAAAGGTCAAAAATGTATTTTGTTTTTAACAGAAAATTTGCTTCTCTGAGGCACATTTTGTTTTTGAAGATTGTTCTTCAAATCTTCCAAATCAGCAAGAAAGTCAGAAATGAAGAGAGAATGTCTACCGTTTAACTATGGACCCTTTAGATCTTTAAAGTTACAATGTTTCAATGTTATATCATCAAGATCAAGCAATTTTTTTTGTGTTAATGTTCAAAGGCCGTTCGAATAAAGGTTTGGAGGCGAGAAAGAGCATCGTTTGTTCTAAGCGGGCACTTCATTAAAATGAGTAGGTATTTTATAAAAGTCTAAAGAAAACCCGCAAAAACACCATAATTTACAAATGCTTTGCATACGTTGCTAATGAAAACAATGAAGAGAGAAAGTCGTACAGTAATTTCAGATGTGCTTTTAGTAAGGGAAAAGTATGTTAATGTAACAAAATGGATGATTCTGTCACAAATTTCTTCATTTGGAAGAATGCTTTTGAAAAGGAAGTAACGATTAAAATAATCATAACTTGGTTCCAACGCTATTTTTAATTATCTTAAAAAGTAATTCAAGGGATTGAAGTGAAAGAGGAATTGGCTGTAATTTTCATTGCAGCCGAATTAATAATTTGCATTTTTTCCCATTAGAATCAACTTATTTATCAATGAGAAAGGTATTATATAACCCGTTATTTATTGAAAATAACTTAATAACGTAAGCATTGGATGTTTTTTCATCAATTACTTTTGTCTCACAGTTGAACGACATAAGTTATTTCATTTCTTTATAATATCTTTATTTTATTCAAAGTCTGAGCACGCAAACTTCAAACACATTCAATGTAGCAGACACTGATG